TCATTGTTCATATATATATATGAAAAAGTATACAATGAGACCATTTACTTTTGATACAAGGTGGCCACAATTAATTTTGATCATTGAATGTGAAATTGGGTTGCTGCATTTATTTTATTGACAAAGCTCAAAGTTCAAATTTTTTTTTCTTGAACTTTGTGACATACCAATGCTATCAAATGTCACATCGAAGGGTTATAAGTAATTGTGACCTTCTTGTACTAAAGGTAAATGGTCTCATACTATCCCTATATATATATATTTGCATAAGGTTGCATAAGGTGCACCTCCAAATTCTATTATAAATGTAATTTTGGTGAAAATTTTTTTAGAATTGCTTGAGAATCTATTTTTGATCTCTAATTATAAAATTTTAGACTCAAAAAATAGTTCAAATCAAGTAGATCTATAAACACATGAAAATCTTGAGAATGGACGCTCCAGATAACATGTTACATGATACACTATTTTTGAGACTTGATTTTTTTCTTTTTATATGCATACATCTCGATATTGAAATTATCAATAAGAGGGTTTTCCAACATCAAAACAACCTTTTATGATGGGTTTTTAGGTGCCCCTTAATTCTATATTTTAAGGTTGCAACCTTATATAAACATTTTCCATATATATATATATATATACATTATTTATATATCTATTTATTTATAAATTTGTGGATAAATGACTCTTGCCAGCCACCTGGATTTGGTTGCCTAATTTGGTTTGAGTTTATTTGAAGTCATCTGCCACAGATGTGATCTTACAGCTATCTGGACCTCTTCTTGTTCGTATGATTCATACAAGAGATGGATCAAAAGTTGGTTCTCTATGTGTCAAACATGGGAGTGCGAAGGTATGACATAATTCATGCTGAGTTTTTCTATTATATATTCATTCAGTAAATCATGAGACTTCTTGAGCTTCGTGATTAGCTGTTTACTTGCTTGAATCTATTTCTGCCTTATCCTACTTAACAGCCACTAAAATATATCTCGTAGAATACTGCATCTGCAGGGAAACTCTATTACAATACTGTGCACTATCAAAACATCTCTGTCCATTGAGTAAATCACCATCCATTGAAGTGATGCGGCAGCAGAATACACTAATTACAAGGCACAACTTCAGATTTAGAGTTTTTATTGCCCTTGGAATTAGTATGTTGTGCTTGTTCTATTTTCTCTTGACAACTCTTTGTTCGTATTAACCATCGTCATATATATAGGATAATTATGGATTAAGTTCTGTTGCTTTTGGTTTACAAACATCAGTCTTTGTGTTTGATCACAACCTTTTCCACAGAGTTGGCACTCTTTGATGCCTGAAGTTTTTCTGATTTGTTTTTTAATGTAGGAAAGGAAGAAAATTGTGAAAGTTATGAAAGGTCACGTACAAAAAGTTGCTCATGATCAGTATGGAAGTATGGTAAGAATCTCAAGGTTCTTAAGTGACATGTTTGAAATACTAACTTGTATCCTAGTAGGTATGGAGTAAATTTGGTTCTTAGAATTAATGGCAGTGGACTTTATGTTATGCAGGTGCTTGCCTGTATTCTCTCTTTAGTTGATGATACCAAGATTCTTACAAAGGTTAGTCTCAAATGCATGCCTTGATATCTAGTATTTTTCTTTACTATCTCTAACTACTCCCAGTTTCTTTGCCATTATGGAACATCAGGTTGTCATTCGGGAGCTTCAAACTAACCTGAAGGACCTAATCTTGGACAAGGTATTTTCTCTCTCTTAATTTGTTTTTATTGTTCTTTACGAATTATGGATTGCTGAGTCTAAAGTGGCTACATGTTAAGATTTCATAGTTGCTCATTCTATTGTAATCACATTTATTTGTGAAAGTTGGCTTTTATTATCACATTACTGAGTCCTTTCTCTTTGTGGGTTCTCTGTAAGAATGGAAGGCGGCCTATATTGCAATTACTTCATCCAAAATCACAACGATATTGTGGTGTGGATGGTCTTGCTGTTCTAAATGAGTCGATTCCTTCTCTTTCTAATGTTGGATGTGAGCAATCAGATGGTGTTTCAAATGGTTCAAGCATTGGTAATGAAGCTCTGAATGCTCCAAAAGTGACAGATGAAGAGACCCATGATTCTGGAACCTCTGGGACCATCCAGCATGCGGTGGAGAAGGGTACAAAAGCTCCATCCAAAAGGAGATTCGAGCTATTGGTAGATAGTGGGCTTGCTCAGGTTTGCCTTCATCTCATTGCTGTGATGCTCAAGTCAAATTTCTAACAACATTATGTTGAGAGCTAAACTGTTGAACTAGTGATATATGCTTACTGATAAATCTCATTTATGTGAATGATATTTTCTCCATTTTTGTTTTTCTCAATAAAGCTTTTTAGAAAATATTGCAGAAATTTGAAAAACTTATAAAAGGAGAAAAGCGAAAAGCATACTTTCCCCTGTTCTCTTATGAACCTATATTTTCTTGTTTTTCTTTATAAACTAACATTCGAGAAACTTGGAACTTTTGTCCTCCTTGTAAACTTGAACCTACATTCTAGCATCACTTTAGTTTTCCAGAAAGTTGTTCGAGAAATGGATAATGGGGGAATCCTCCTAGATTAAGAAAATTCTTTTGAATTATACCTGATAGCTCCCTGAGATTTTGAAAAGGAGATATTTGTAACAGTGATATTTTTTTTTAATGGGCTATCGAGTACTGTTGTATTGTATCAAGAATGCGTCAAAATTTTGTGATATTTTTGCAATCGTTTCCCATAATTCGGAGGTACTTGTAAATGCTTGATGAGTCATGGTGCCCATTATGGTTGCTGTCACTTGCAGAGCCTGGTGGATACATGCATTGCTAGCTGTGGAGAGCTATTACGATCCAACTTTGGGAAAGATGTTTTATATGAGGTAATGTCCTCATAAATTGGTCTCCTCTAGATTTTGTTATTGAATTCTCCTTAAATCAAATGTTTCATGTGCAGGTTGCGACAGGTGCGGCTGGAGGTGTCCTTTGGGAACCATTAGCTGATAGTCTGACTGCTCTCCATGAAGCTATAGCTAATCTTGGAGCATTGCCTAAATTTGGAAGTCCAGAAGAGGAACACATATTTGAGAATTTCCATTCGAGTAGGACAATTAGGAAACTCGTAATGGACTGCCCTTCTTTTGCTCAAGTCCTATGGAAGTTGGCACTTGTAGGGAAGTGCAATATGTGGGCTCAAGGCCACAGGTCAGGCTGGTTGTGTTTACTTTGCCTCTCTTGATTGAATTTATGGTCTTTGCCTTTTCTGGGTTGGGATTTTACAAATCGAGTTACTTTTTCTGTAGAAAAATTTGGGCTGTTTGTTTAGAGCAGGGGAGTGAGGTCACCTGAGGTTAAACCATATGATTGCATTTATATATTTTTACTAAAAAAAATATAGGCTGTCTTTTGGTGTTTTTAATACCATGCTGGGGGCAAATCATTTTAAAATGTGATCTATCTCACTACTGTTTTATGTTTTGAAGTTTTGGCTTTCTTGAGCACTAGCATGATATATAGAAATGTTTCAGGTACTGTTTTGATATTTTCCTGATAGTTTTGACATCTTCCATAGATGGTGGGACTGATTTATTTTGTTTCTCGTCTTTGTTTCTACTAATTAGTGGAAAGGTGATTTACGCGTTCTTGGAGTGCTCTGATCCTGAAATTAGAGATATGGTGAAACCGGAGTTAGAGCCACTTATAGATGCAGGTATGCTGAAAATTCCAGACAAGCAATTAGAGCAATAAAATTTGAGTTTTGTTACCGGCAAGTGTTTGTGTGAATCCTAGTTTCACTGATACTTATATTGTTGCTACATTTGGTGACGCTTAGCCTGTAATTCATTGGGGTCTTCTGTTTTGAATTTAAACTGATCTCAACCCAGTTTTGAATGAATTCGGTCATGTAGTTTTTGGGTTTCATATGATGAGTGAGTTTGAAATTCGCATTCGGAAATATTTGAAGTTTTCAACACATTTTCAATCTCCAGATGATTTTCTAAGTTCCTACCCACCAAAAATAATCATCATCACAAAGTGAAAATGTATAACGCATCAGTATCATGCGATAAGGCCTCATGGTATTGGAAAGATACCATAACGTGGAGGTTACTGAAGGATATTTTCACTTGCCAAAGATGTACCCTTTTCTGTGGGCTAACCTTAGTTTGGAAGTGAGGAATTTTAGTTAGCTAGAAACAATCGTGTCAGCAATAACTCCACATTGGCAAGACCGTTTATCTTTGGTACATGATTACAGTTAACCCCAGTTGATAGATGTGAAATTGGCAGTTGGAATGCTCAACTTCACACGAAGTCAAAAAACTTTTTGGTTGAAGTTATGGCGCACTGTAACATCCCAATTTCAATTTTGTCCCAATTTCAATTGTAATGGCTAGAGGTGATTGCAACCTTTTTAATACCGGAAGTAAGAGATGTTTAATTTGTATAAGAACTTAAATCACACCTTGAATGTTTAAGAGCATCATTCTGATGTTCTTGAAACTATCATTTCTTAAGATTTTACCGTTTTGAGTTGTTTATTTATTTGTTTATTATTTTTTCATTTTAAATGTCACTAAGTAGACTAAACACTTTACTTTCCTTTTGGACAATGGGTTTGTGCACTTTTTTCTATGAGCTGCTGCTTTCATAGTTCTACAATGCAAATTTCTGCATGTGTTTCATGTTTGTGCCAATTTTTAAATCTGAAAATTTCGTATATACTTTAATTGACAATCAGAAAAAAAGATTATCTTAAAACCTTAAACTGATAATAGGTGATCCAATGTCAGTTTCGGATGTGGGGTTAATCTTGAGCATTTTTTTAAGTCAGCGAGTACAGTATTGGAAATTTAAAGAATACTTTGAAAACTTTTGAATTTCACTTTGATGTCTCTTTTTTCATGTCTAGTTAATTTTTGCCAAAATGCAGAACTCTTTTGTTTTTTTGAACTGAGAGTACCAAACATAAGAGAGAGAATAGTTCCGGTACTCTCAGTACGAAACATTACAAAAAGGCAATAGTTTGGTATTAAAAGTGCTGAATATAAAATTTAAAAGAACAATTTCATTCCGTACTCGTAGTACCAAATTTTATCAATGGCATGACTATGTTTGGTACAATCAGTATTGAACAATTCTTTTCGCAAAAACAATTCAGTGCCGTCTAGAACAGAGTAACAAACTAAAGGCATTTTGGGAAAAATTACAATAGACAAAAAGAAGCGATAATAATTTAATTTCCCTATATTATTTGGAAGTGAGTCTTTTGTTTTTTCTCTTTTTAATAGTTGAGCTTGTATATTATAAGACTGGTAACTATAATCACTTTTAGTCATCCTATGTAGAATTTTATTTTGAACTTCGAGTTTGAAGAAGCCCCACCCAATTTATATTTGAGGGCTAAGGGTGGTTGGGACTTTGTACTAAAGGTAACTTATTGTATATGCATTCATATTCTTTTTACTTAACTTCTTATTATTTAGCACAATGGGTTCTTACATTTTTTTATTAAACTTTTTGTTGGTTTTGTAAATTAGTAAATCGTTTTTCAGATTTCCGAATCGGAGCCTATGGCATTAGACATAAGCTTGTACATTTTGGCAGCCAATATTGCTATGGCTAAAAACGTGATATTTTTTCTCTGAGCCCCTCGCTTGTCCTGGACTTGATAGTTAAAAACTATTGTTTTTTTTTTTTTGACATGTTAACGGTGGGAATGGAGGGTGGGACGTTGTGTTGAGGCGATATGTTGAGGCATCTGCCCGCCTAACACCCATGTCCCAACCCCATTCCCGTTATTGCGATGCAACAGGAGCATTGTGTTTTGCATTTTCAATATAACGGTTCAGAAAATAGATTCAAACTTTCAACCCGTTATAGTGACTGTTAGGTCCACTGTCCAGCATTACTGTAGTGTTATTCAAATACAAGTGGTTATTTGGCAATATTTGTTGGAAAGGCCAATGACCATTGCCGTTATGACATCCAATATAAACCATGATAATCACATTTTCTGAATCCTCGGTTCTAAGTTAATCGAGACAAATGCCGGAACAACCAATGATGTAAGATGGCCGACTGGATTTGGATGGGTAAGTTTATAATGATGTGGAGAAATGCGTGAGTTTTCAGTGACAATAAGTTTGAATTAGGGGGCAGCATTGGGTCAATATCTATTTGTTTTAGTTATAGATGATTGGATTTGGATGGGTAAGTTAGTAATGATGTGGAGAAATGAGTGAGTTTTTAGTGCTAATAGGTCTGCATTAGGGATAACATTGAGCCAATATCTCTTTATCTTAGTTATGGATAACTCAACTAGGCACCTAGAAGATGGAGTACCATGGTGTATGTTGTTCGCAGATGATATAGTTTTGATTGATGAGATCCAAAATGGCATCAACACAAAGTTAGAACTTTGAAGGGATGCTTTATAATCTAAAGGTTTTGAAATTAGCCAGATAAAGCTAGAGTATATGGAATGCAAGTTTAGTAATGATAGGAGTATAAACAAGGAAGTAGTTACGATTAATGGCCAAGAAATGCTGAAAAGAGCTTATTTTTGATATTGGGTCAATAATCAAGGAAAATGGAGAGATTGAGGGAGATGTCGCATATATAATTAGAGTCAGGTGGGCGAAGTGGAGATATGCAATTAGAGTTTTATATGATTGCCACATTACCATGAAGTTGAATGGCAAGTTCTATAGGACAATTTTGAGACGAAATTTACTTTGTGAGGCAAAATGTTGAGTGTTCAAAAAACAACATACCCACTGAAGATATGACCTCTAATAAAACAGAATGACATATCAGAATGCATGTAGCTGATCTCAATTAACTAGAAAAAAGCTTATCTCAATTAACTAGAAAAAAGCTTTGACGATGATGAAGCTCATGATTCTCCCTATGAACCGTGTTGATAAGTATTCCATAGCATAGGAGGAGTTCTACAAGTTACGAAGGTAACACAAAAAATTATCCAAAATAAAGCGAGGTAACACAGTCTAAGTTTGCTAACATGATTCCAAAAGAGTGCGTCCCTACTCCCGGTTTTAATTCAAATGAATACACCCTTTCCTTTGCAAGGGCCAAGAATAGATTTATCAAAGCTTTTTGGCAGATAAGGTAAGCTGGAATGAGTAATAAATTACAAATGTAACGTAGACAAAAGGAGAAAACAAGGATAGATGAACACGCGTCTAAATCAAGCGACCAACTGCGCCACATCTTCTGTACACTTCCAAACTATACGACAATGAAAGGTTTTGTATTAGCAAAATACGGCCATGTATCTTTAATTTTTATCGTTGTGACAATGGCCCGGCCTGCCCCGATCAGCCCGGCTCTAAAACAAAAGGAACTCGGCTTGTGGCTGGGGTGGGCCTGACACCTTCATTTCTTTATTTTCTAAAATTTTATTTATCCCCATTTATAGGGCTGAGACAAGCCTGGGACAAGGCCTCTTTGACCAGGTCTGAGATAGCCCGGTGGCGAGGCTCTCAGGGGACCATAGGAGAAGAGCCCTGGTCTGGGCTAGGTTCGACGGCCGGGCCGAGGCCTTGCCATGCAAAAGTTGTTATTAATTAGAGGCGCACGATGGAACCATATATTAAAGGCTTCTGAAATGTAGAGAGAGGCGCCAAGCACATTCTAAAATATACAGAGAGAAGCCATGCATGTTTTGGGAACATCTTTTTCATATACAACATTAGTACATACACAAAGGTATAACGACCATCTGGGCAACATGTATTCAGCTTCGAGGGCAGCGTTAGAAAGTGCGACTTGGACCGAGTAATCAGTTCCGGTCCGAGCCATTAGTGCCAAATATTGTATTATTAAAAAAAAAAGGTCAAAAATATTATAAAAAATATAAAAATTCCAAAACAACAGGAAATGTACGTTTAAACTTTAAAGTAAGATTAAGAAAAACACTTTAAAATGATGTTAAAAAAATAGATTTTAAAAAATAACTTGTGACTAGAGATATTTTTCCAATAATCCGAAAAAATGAGAAAAATGTAAAAATAAGTATTTATTGTCAAAATACTTTTCAATATATGCTAAAATGATGTAAAACATAAACAAACACATCTCAAATAAATTCTTAATAGATCAATTTTTTTAATAATTTTTTATTTTTATTTAGTATCCCTAATTTGGAAACTCACTCGAGACAACTCGGGCTCGACACGTACCCGAGGCCGAGTAACTCAGTGAGTAGAAACAACTCCGCCGATTTATTTAATTTTTTATCATTGTTGGAGAAGGAGAGTGGGGAGAATTCGGCGAAGCGTTTTCTGAGTAGAAAGTAAAGAAGCGAATTGCAACATCTCCAGCAGAGAGAGAGCCTGCAACTGTCTTTAACCTAAAATACAGTAAAAGCAGTTATCTTTTTCACTTTTATGTGGCCAATGCCCACGTTTCTCTCACTTCACTTGGTAACGCATCCCACTCCAAATTAATTAGAGAGAATGGGGTCTTACTAAACATAGAAGCCTTACTTCACTCACCCTGCCTTTTGTTGCACACTCTCTGACCTTCTTATCCCTTTCATTTACATCTGGCTTCCACACTCCACCCATAAAATGAAGCCCAACCATGCAACTTTCCTCAAACCATCTCTCTCTTTCTTTCTACTATTCCTGCAATGGGTGTGATGGAGAATTGGATATGGGTTTTTGTGATTTTTGCTTTGTGGACCTGCGCATGCTCCTCTTCCGAACAAGAAAGAGCAAGAACTTTCATAGTTAGGGTGCAACATGACCTAAAGCCCACCGTCTTTCCCACCCATGAGCACTGGTACAAAAGCATGGCCTCTTCCTCTCCCACCGCCCAAAACCTCATCCACCTCTACCACACTGTCTTCAATGGCTTCTCAGCCAAGCTCACCCCCTCACAAGCCTCTCAGCTCTCGAACCACCCTGCCGTTCTCTCTCTCTTCGAAGACAGACCCCGAAAACTCCACACCACTCGCTCCCCTCAATTCCTCGGCCTCTCCCAAGAACCCAACACCATTTTGCCGAAATCTGACTATGGCTCAAATCTCATAATCGGTGTCCTAGACACCGGAGTTTGGCCAGAGAGGCGAAGCTTCTCAGACACCGGAGTAGGCCCGATCCCCTCACGTTGGAAGGGAGAGTGTCAAGATACCTACGATTTCCCAAAAACCTTATGCAACCGGAAATTGATCGGTGCTCGCTTCTTTTCTGGTGGTTACGAGGCGGCCGCCGGTGCCATGAACGAGACTTTGGAGCGCAAGTCACCGAGAGACACTGATGGCCATGGCACGCACACGGCCTCGACTGCTGCAGGGAACATGGTGCCCAGAGCATCCGCATTGGGGTATGCCCGCGGCGTCGCATCGGGAATGGCACCGTTGGCGCGTTTGGCTGTTTACAAAGTGTGTTGGGCGACGGGGTGCTTTGACTCTGATATCTTAGCAGCGATGGATAGCGCAGTGAATGATGGGGTAGATGTGTTGTCGATGTCTCTTGGTGGCGGGGCGGTGCCTTATTACATGGATGCGATGGCGGTGGGTTCGTTTGGAGCGGTGGAGCAAGGGGTTTTTGTGGCAGCATCGGCCGGGAACGAAGGGCCGGGAGAGATGACGGTGACAAACGTGGCACCGTGGATTACCACAGTCGGTGCCGGGACGATTGATCGGGGTTTTCCGGCTGATGTCGTGCTTGGCGATGGCAGGTTTGGTTTAATTCATAGATAACACTGTCCGCTGTAGCGGTAACGTTCATTCTGATAGTAAACATGGAAATTAGGAAAGAAATAGTTATAGTTTCACATGACTATCGTAACGGCCATTATTCTTGGAACCTTGATGATCGCAGGGTCATATCCGGTGTCTCGATCTATCGCCACAAAGACACAGGCCGAGGCCACGCCACCGTCTCTTCCCCCGCCCCCCTCATCTATGCTGGCACCGCCGGCCATCCCGGCGGCTTCGGTCCTGCACTGTGCATGGAAAACTCCCTCGACCCCTCATCAGTCCAAGGCAAGATTGTCATCTGTGAGCGCGGCAGCAGCCCCCGCGCTTCCAAGGGGGTTGAGGTGAAGCGGGCAGGAGGTGCCGGCATGATCCTCGCCAACTCCATTGCCGATGGCGAGGGCCTCATTGCCGACTCCCACGTCCTCCCTGCTGTTGGAATTGGGGCACGAGCTGGGGACCTCCTCCTACAGTACACGAACCAGTCATCTTCACCACCTCAAGCCAAGTTCATCTTCAGAGGGACCGCGCTCGGCGTCCACCCAGCTCCTATCGTTGCTACGTTCTCATCTCGTGGCCCCAATCCTGAGTCGCACACGATTTTGAAGCCTGACCTCCTGGCACCAGGAGTGAACATCTTAGCAGCTTGGATCGATGGCTTGGGGCCCTCCGGCATGCCTTCCGACAAGCGAAAGGCGGAATTCAACGTGCTTTCTGGAACGTCCATGGCTTGCCCGCATGTGGCAGGGCTGGCCTTGTTGCTGAAGGGGGCTCATCCCGAGTGGAGCGCGGCCATGGTGAGGTCGGCACTCATGACCACAGCTTATACGAGGGACAACATTGGCGGCACACTGCACGACGAGGCCAATGGCAACCTGTCCACGCCACTGGCCTCCGGCGCCGGCCATGTGGATCCCCAGAAGGCATTGGATCCTGGCCTGGTGTACGATATAAACACCGAAGATTACATTGCTTTCCTCTGCAACTCGAATTACAGTGAGACGAGCATAAGGACGATAACAAAAAGGGAGGTCCACTGTGGAACGAAGGGTTGGGTGGGGGATTTGAATTACCCAGCCTTCACAGTGGTTTTTGAGGGAGAAAGAGTGGCGGAGATGAGGAGGGTGGTGAAAAATGTTGGTGATAATGAGGTGGCTACATATAGAGTGGGGGTGATAGAGCCAAAAGGTGTGAGAGTGAGCGTGGTGCCTCAAGAGTTGGTTTTCAGGAGGAAGGGGGAGGAGCTGAGCTATAGGGTGAGGGTGGAGAAGGTAGGGGCGGAGGCGGTCGCGGAGGCGGAGGAGATGATCCATTTTCCTGGTCCTGAATCGAAGGTGTCGCACGGGACTGTGACGTGGACGGATGGAAAGCACGTGGTGAGGTCTCCCGTTACGGTCGTCACGTTTCTCAACTCGGTCTAAGGAGTGGGAGTATGGTTAGGACTTTTCATGTGTAAGATAGACTGTATGTGGGAGCGAGTGAGAGAGCCAGGAATCAAATGGGTTTAGGAAGTAGGAAGCAAGTCAAATGGATAGACAGTGTATTTAGGAATAGCCTAGATTAATAATTTTAAAAAATTGCTATGGAGAATATTTACCGCTAGATATAACAGTGCATCCATTTACATACTTTTCGTTTACATAATTACCATCGTGGCTAGTCTCATATATATTTATTTATTTATTTGACTTTTTGAATGATGATTGAGATTTAAATATAAGTTAAAATTACAAAAATATCTTTCTAAAATTTTTTGAGTAAGTTATTTTTAATATAAATTTGTGCCATTTGATGTTAAAATTTTTGGAGTATTAAATTCTAGATTCAGGTGTGGTTTGCCTAACGATGCAATATTAAACAATCAAAGTGAGGTGCGCCTCCAAACTTTGCCATGAGATGTAATATTGGTGTTGAAAATCCTTAGGATGGTGCGAGAATCTATTTTAACTTTAATTATAGAATTTTAAACTTAAAAAATGGTTCAAGTCAAGCATATATATAAACACGTGAAAATTTTGAAAACGGACGGTCTAGATAGTGTATTACAAGATGTATTATCTTTAAGACTTGAAACTTATCTTTTTTTTCATATCTATACATTTGGATGTTGAAATAACCAATTAGATATTTTTTCAACATCAAAACAACCTTTTTCAAAGGATTCTAGATATGCTCCTTAATTCTATTGTTTAAGTGTATGTGATTTCATGTCTCCGTGACATTATAATATAATGAAATTATACTTCTAGAAAACCATGTTACTGGCATTTGTACGATGACAAAAATTACACACACTTTCTCTTCATCTTAATAAGCAATGCTCAAAAAAATAAAATTCAATTTGCATCTAAGGTCTAGTCAAAATGAGTCCCCTACACCAATGAATCTAGGTCTTCTAAATAGTGAATTTCAAGATATAAGCCTTTACGAACTCAAAACTATTTGTTCTTTTTTAACATTGTTCATCTAATAATATAAAACTATCTAAAAAGTTTGGAAGGAAAAAAAAAACTTTTGAAGACCTAGATATAAGCATCACAATAAAATAGACGACCTTTGTTAATTGGTCCCAAAGGACACTTTTAGGGTGTATTTTCAATACCTTTTGTGATTGTTCAATAGAATGAAATAGTGTATATTTAAAAGTTGGAGTCAGGTAAACGACCCTAACACAATTTTTGAAAATTGTTTCATTATATTACAATAGAGGTCTATTGCATTCAAGGCGACTTTGCTTCACCTAAATAATCTATTTTCAGGATTTTCAAGTACTTATAGGTGTTGTTTGCTCTGTCGAGCTTAAAGTTTTATCATGAGGAATGGAAAAAGATTTCAAATTATTATAAAATTTTCAAGTATAAGAATTGTAGCCTCTGATAATATTTGAGGATGCATACTTTTAACTATTTAAGGAAAAAGTTTATACAAGGCTAATACTTTATATTGTAGAATTAAAGTGCACCTAAAAAATCTATCGAAATAGGCTGTTCTAATGTTAGACAAATCTAATTGATCATCTCAATGCTGATATGGAGAAATATAAAGATTTCAAGTTCCAAATCTTACAACACATTATTTACACTGTCCATCATAAGGTTTTTTACAACATAACTACTTCTCCAAATTTTTTTTTAAAGGTATGCCTTACTTCTACAGTACAAGGAGGGCACCTTATGTAAACCTCACCCTTACTTTACAAGTAAAGCCTATGCTCAGCTTTAAAAAGTAAACTACACATTAAAAGCTTGCCATTCTAGCGCCAAATAGGCCTAAAAATCTATTTCTACTCCATTCTATTAAATTTGTAAATCCACAAATGTTATAGATTTGGTAAATCTCTAAACACTTGGAATTTTGGTGTAAAAAATTCTAGTGTAAAAAATTTTGGTGTAAAATTATAAATATAATTTTGGTGTAAAAATTCTAGATTGGTTTGAAAGTCTATTTTCATCTCTAAATATAAAATCTTAAACTCAAAAAATGATTCAAATCAAGTAGATCTATAAACACTTGAAAATCCTGAAAATGGACGATCTAGATAATTTGTTGCAAGATACACTGACTAGAAATCTTTTTTTTTTTTTTTTCATATTCATACATCTCAATGTTGAGATAATCAATTAGAGAATTTTCCAACATCCAAATAATCTTCTAAGATTGATTTTAGAGAAGCACCTCAATTCTACATTTTAGGATTGCAACCTTATATAAACTTGCAATTATTTTATTTTATGCTGGAGAATTTCCTGCCACAAAAGTACACCAATCATGCACATTGGAAGTAAATTAGGTAAGGTCTTTATAAACCCCTAATCAAAACCTTAGGTGAGTTGATTCCCGTCCAACGTACTCTTATCATTTTAAATTAATGTTGCCGACATGGACTGCACCAGATATCTCAATCTTCATTAACCTTTTGTCATAGAATTATTTATTAATTGATTTGTTTGGGTTGACCATAAATAGCAAGCTTTTGATATAAAAATTCCTTGGTTATACTGCTATTTTTGAGCTTATAGATCTACACGATTTTGAACCATATATTGGGCTGGGATGAATATGGAAGCATTGCGGCTAGAATAAGTAGGACCATAGGTACCGGGAGCGAGAGCGGGAACAGCTCCGGTTCTGGGAACGGGAGCGTTGGAGCGACGTTTGCCCAAAGCTTCGGAACTCGGGGAGCAAGTTCCGGTGAGGGCAAAAGTAACGGATCAAGATCCCGTATGAACAAGAGCACATTCCCAATACATCGTGATTGAGATCCCTATTTAACAGGAACGCTTTTCATGTCAAATGGGATCGTGTTCCCATATTCATTAGGATTGTGCTCCCATCAACAACATGATTGTGCCTGTATATAAGAATGACCGCATTCCTATTTAGAAAGGATCGAGCTCCATTCAAGGAAGGATAACGTTCTGTGCATGATTAATCTACGCTCCCATCTCAAAACTCTACTTTTATGAAAATTTGGCTTAAAATATAACTATTTTATTAATTTTATTTAAGAAGTTTCTTTTAGGATGTTTTGGGAAAATAGGGATAGAGTTCCAGATATGTAGAGATCGCGTTCCTAAAATTCTGAGAGCGGGATCTAATTTATTCAGGAATGAGATCCTAAAATTTAAGGAGCACATTCCGTGCGGTATCGGGAGCAAGCTCCGTTGTGAATAGGATCGAGAATCCTAAAAATTTGAACGAGATCCCAAAAAGATAAGAGCGGGTTTCGAGTGAGATCCTGACTCCAGAACGCTGAAGCGAGATTCTGGAGCGGGAGCGAACTATGAGTAGGTCATGGTTAGTGAGGCTATACAATGAAAGCCGTGTTAGTGTCAACCTGCCATGTTCGGTAATTGAGAAAGCTGTTTTTCTGGAGAATCTTTGAGTAAACTCGGAGCCTGAGAAAAAAGTAGGAAGCTGAGAACCCTTGAACCTTGTTTAACAATATGCCTGTGAAAACCGAGAAAAAAATCTGATGCTAGTATTTTCACCTGTTTGCTAACCTAGCAATCTGGAAACCCTTGATTTAATTGTTGGTTATGAAACTCAATGATTAGAGGCTAAAACCTAAATTTTGATTGGAATTTTAAATTGTAACTATCCATGTCATCATTTACATAATGAATGGTTAAGATCATAGAGTTGTTAGTGTTCTCCCTCTCCCCCTCTGATCAATCCATTCATTGTTAATTTGTAGCAGTCTTGTTCATTCACAAATTAGTGACTTCAAAGTACGTTATAACAAAAAAGTATGGGAGAAGTTTATATATATATAGAGCCCAGGCTCTAAACAATCATATTCGAACCTCCCTCAAACATTTTACTAGATGAGATGAGAATCCTCAAATTGATCGTCTCGACATCAAGATGCATGGACATGAGAAAAAAATTGATTTTAAGTTTTGAAAATAATGTATTTTGTAATGCATTTTGTGACTCTCAATTTTCAAGATTTTCAAGTTTTCATAGATCTGTCGATCTGCACCATTTTTGAAGCTTTAAACTTTATAAATAAAGATAAAAATATATTTTAAGGCTATCACAAAGATTTCTAGTTTTGGAACCACATTTCTCGATACTATTTAAAGGTAGGCTCTATACAAACCACACCCAAACAGTATATAGCAAGTATGATACTGAGTGTTTAAAGTAAGGGTGAGGTTTGTATCGAGCCGAGGCTCTAAACAATCAAATTAGAGCCCACCTTCAAATAATGTTGAGAAATATGGTTTCAAAACTGGAAAGTTTTGTGATAGCTTTAAATTGTATTTTCATTTTTAGTTATAAACTTTAAAGCTTAAAAAATAGTGCATATCGAGCAGATCTATGAAAACCTGAAAATCTTGAAAATTGACTGTCAAAAAATGTATTATATGATGCACTATTTCCAAAACTTGAAATCCAATTTTTTCTCATGTCCATGCATCTTGATGTCGAGATGATCAAGTTGATGATATTTGGGCATCAAAACAACCTCTTCTACTGAATATTTTGAGGTAGGCTCGAATTTGATTGTTTAGAGCCTAGGCTCTATATAAACGTTTGTTTATAATGCAAAATTAGAGGGAACTTCAAATTGAGATCCCTCAGATATTGAACACCACAAACTGAGTTTAAAAAGATGATAGAGATAGTGAGGACAATCGAATTATGATATGAGGTCAGATCTACTCAAGAGTGAGCAGATTTGCTCTCAGATTAGTGGCAGAGCCAGCATAGATCCGAGACATGAAATACGTATAAAAACAATAAAACTAAGTAGTTCTAATTTAAATGAATAAAAAAGAAAAGAAATAATAAAAAGAGTAAGAAACGATACCAAATCGGGCTAGATGGCTCAGGATTCCCGAGGCTTCAAGGCCTCGCCCGTATCAGAACCGGTATTCTCTTTGTCTCTCTTTCTCCAAGTGTTGACTAGGCCTTAGCCTGGTTGAATGGGTGTGTTGACCAGACCTTAGCCTGGTTGAATGGGTTTTCTTAGGTTTAGGCTTCTCAGGTTTAGGGTTTTACAAAAGTTCTCCAGCTAGGGTTTCAACTTTCTGACCTAACTCCAGAGCCGACAGAGTAGACCCCTCAAGCAGCCACAAAAATGTCATTTTATGGACTGGGAATCGACTGAAAAAGGCAA